ACGAGACAAGGATGTCCACAATCTCCCTTGTTATTTATTCTTACATTGGAGGTACTGGCTAGAAATATTAGACAAGATAAGGAAATTAAAGGTTTAGAGGTTTAGAGATTAAAGATCAGAAATATAAACTACAGGCTTTTGCAGATGATTTGGTCTTTATTTTAGAGGAGCCACTGGAAACAGCCCCTAAACTTTTGCAGAAAATCGTGGAATTTGGGGATGTGGCTGAATTGAAAATAAATAGGGAAAAGACTAAAGTTTTAACAAAAAACTTGACTGATAAACAGAAAACTCAACTTGCCAAAAAGACAAATCTTCAAATAGCCAAAAAAGTTAAATACCTAGGTATTTACCTAACTGCAAAATATACAACATTAAAAGAGGACAACTATGAGAGATTAATAAAACAAATAAAAGTAGACTTGGAAAAGTGGGAAAATCTTCAATTATCACTGCTAGGAAGAATAGCGACAGTTAAGATGAACATTCTACCAAAGTTAATTTTTCTCTTTCAAACAGTCCCTGTTAAATTGAGCAAGAAATTTTTTGACAATTTGAATGCAATAATACTAAGATTTATATGGCAAAGAAAGAAAGCAAGAATTAAATGTAAACTTTTACAAGATTCCAAAGACAGAGGGGGCTTTGGATTTCCAGACTGGAGACTTTATTATCAAGCAGCTATTTTGCTTTGGCTGAAAGAATGGATTATGCTGAGAAATAAATGACTTCTCTACGTCTTAGAGGAACATGACCTCCAATTAAGTTGGCATGCCTTTTTATGGTATGAGAAAACTAAAGCACATAAATACTTTCAAAATCATACCATAAGAAACATATTGCTTTCAAAATGTGAGAGAATTAGACACAAAATGTATATGAAAATACCTGAGTGGCTTTCAACAATGGAAGCATTTGCTTATCCAAACTTGATTAACTATGATAAACTTGTTAGTTATAAAGAAATTTTGGATAAAGGTGGAAAACTTAAAGACAGGCAAACTCTTTAACAATAAGGTATTGAGTTAACATGGTGGTCTTATTTGCAAATTCAAACAAGATATGAAAAAGATATAAAATCAATGGGATTTTACAAAGAGCAAACTCCACTTGATAAAATACTTTTGAAAACAGACGAGAATTTAATTAAGAAACTTTATAAATGTCTGTTAAGCTGGAAGATGGAAGAAGAACAAGTAAAAGAAACAATGATAATATGGGCAAAGAATTTTGGATATTCTATAGACTTAGAAGACTGGCAAAAACTTTGGGATAAAAATATTAAACTTACTAAAGCAGCAACATATAAAGAAAATCTATATAAGATGTTTTATAGATGGCATATGACACCAGTTCGATTAGCGAAAATGTTTTAAAATGTATCAGATACTTGGTGGAAATGTAAACAAAATTCAAGCACACATTACCATGCCTGGTGGATATGCCCTATCTCAAAGAAATACTGGCTTAAGATTCATAGATGGCTAGAAAAGATGATGAAAGTACAGATAGAAATTAAATCGGAATTGTTTTTGTTAGGAATAGTAATATCTAGCTATGGTAAAGAGAATGACTATTTAATACTACATATATTAACTGCTGCAAGAATAGTATTTGCCCAATTTTGGAAAAATGAAAATTTACCATCTGACCAGGCTATAATCTCGAAAATCTTAGATTGTGCAGAAATGGACAGATTAACTTTAGAAATGAAGGAGACTCAATTTATTTTAAAACTTGGGAAAAGTTTTATCGATGATTAGAAATACATGAACATGAATTGACCTTAAAATTGAATGGAATTTTAAAATTGAATAGAATAAATGATAGATTTCTAATTAAGTTCTTTTTTGTTAGATTAATAATATTTTATTACTAGTGACTTTAAATATTAATGGTGATGATCAGAAATAATTGATAAGTTATTAAGTATGGATATCTACTTAGAGGAATTTTACCCATTTATCAAATTTTAGTTATGTGATTATAATTAATTTGATCTTTATAACTGTTTAGTATTATATAAAATTTGTATTTAAATTTCATGTTTATTCCTATCAATTTTTTTTATTTGTGATTCTAACAATAAGTAATTATAACTAATAAGTAATATATTAATGTGTTAAAGTTATTATAGTTAATTAGTAATATAATAGTAATATTATATTAAGTATCGCTATTTTATATTAATTAGTATGATTGAATATGTATACCCGGATGGGTTTACTTGTTGAAGCGTTGACTTATTGTGGGGGATAACACCACTATTGTACCTATCCCTTCCCCTGGTCTAACCTTTTTTGTTTGTTACCCTTTGTCATACCCTTATTGACCCTACTTTCCCTTTACCGTTATAAAATCTAATAAAATATTTTTTTTTAAAAAAAAAAACAATCTAATGACTATGAAGGAGTTAGCTCATACCCAAATGACATGTGTAGGGATGAAGGGAGATCCACCTGAGGAGTTAGAGGCACTGCTATGGAAGCCTGCTTGGCACAAAAAGAAAGCTAGAGTTAGACTCAAAAATGTTTTTTTATGTGATCTATAATGGAAGAGTTTAAAATCTCTTCAAAATCTCACTCAATGGCCTAAGGAGAACTTAAAAAATAGTAATTGGTTTAATATTTAGGATTTAGATTTATAAAGGAAATAAAAAATAGTTACTAGAATAATAGTATTATTGTATTATAATATAAAAGTTGGACTGAGATGATAAAGGTTACCTTATTAATAAGGGATGAGGTATTAGTATGAGAAATAGAATATGTTTGTGAAATAAAGTAAGAAGTTATCTGAGTAAATAATAAATATATTTTAGATATGACAATTATTTTGTAATGAACTAAGGGAACTTTGGGTCACCCGAAATCTAAAGATTATGGATATTAAATGGAATACTGTAACTGAAATTAGGTAAAATTCAAAACAGGATATGAAGGCGTATAAGACAAAATATATTGACAAATGTCTTAACTGACTGAGTTAAACTAGCAATGTATTAATTTGAATGTGATAGCATAATTAAAGGAAATAGAGAGGAAATTTTTGATGATGTAACCTGACATATGTATGAAAAAGCTTGTTATTTGATTTGGATTACCCAATTACCATGTTGGTTCTTTAACACTCAGAGCTTTGTAAAATTGGAAAACTAATAAAACTTGTATAACAAAAAAGAATGAGGAGGAAAGGAACACCAATGAGTCTTGACAATGAATGGGGTGACAAATATAACAACCAATCACCCTTATAACCTTCAGGAATGCTTTTATCAGAGGATGCACTACATAGATGTATGGTAACTAGGTTGGTGTAGTTAGCATAAAAATGAAAAAAAAAATGAAAAGCAATGTCAGCAAAGCCAATATTTAGAAAAGTCCTCATCCTCCTTCAAATGATGTATAAAAAGATAAAAGAACTCAATCTTTAGTAATGATGCTTAGTATTCTTTAAGATTTCATATAATTAGAATGCTGAATAATTAGGATAATTAGTCTTAATATTAGGATAATGATAACAGCTGCAGATGGACATGGTATGTTTAAAATCAACAAGGAGGAAATTGAATTAGTTTGAGAATTTATCTTCCTTGGATCCAAAATTGTTCACAGTGGCAGTTCTATTCCTGAAATCAAATGTACTACAATGATTAAATGAATAAAATTTGGAAAAGAAGAGATATTGATATAAATACAAAAAGCAGGCTAATTACAGCAACAGTCTTCCTATGTATAGGTATGAGAATTGGACATTAAAGAAGGGCTGATAAAAAAAACTGTGGTGCTGATCATAAAGTATCACATATACCATGGAAAGCCAGAATAATCACTAGAAGTGAAAATCATAAGACTACATCATTTACTTTGGCCATCTCATGCCTGCAAATTCATTGAAGAAGGCAATGATGCTAGGAATAGTTAATGAAACAACTGGAAGGGGCTAGCAAAGAACATGGTGGCTTGATAAAATCAAATCTGATTCAAAGTTGACCATCCAACAATTGAAAGAAACTATGCTTGACAGGGTAGCATAGAGAGCACTTGCCTATAAAGTTACCAAGAGTCAAACATGACTAAATAGTTAAAACAACATTCATTTAATGTAAAAACTTAAAAGAAAACCTTATCATTGCCTAATAAAATAACATGCTAAATTCTATCTTGCAAGCTTTCTGCATTAACAACAATATATGAACTGATAAATTATTAAATTGCCAAGTATCAAAACTTTGGGGGAATATAATGAAATCAGTCTTATCACTGAGATGGGTGGCATATGAATTCAATAAACAAATAAAACGTTGTAGATTGTAGGCACCACTAATTGGTATTAAACATTGCAAGAAGCTGAAGGCAACGTTTGGTGTCAGATATTTAACAACTTTGACAGTGAATTGATAAAGAAATCAAAAAGACTCTATAATTCCTATCTCGGTCCTCAGATAGAAAATACGTCTATATTAATAAATAAATACCATCTGCCCTATTCTGCGAGACTGAGAATGAGAAGATATGGGGAGGAATTCGGGCCCTCCTTGCCTGCACAAGATTTATTCCAGATGACAGAGTTTCTACGAATATAACGGCAATATTCCATGCTGAACAGCGCAAACAACAAAACATTGATATGATGCACTGCTAAATTTTCATTTTTATGGGATTCTTTTTAAAGAAAGCAGAGACGGCGAGCTCTTTTTGATGACCTTTTGTTTGCTCGCCAGTTTCGGGCAGAATGGAATGATAAAACGAAAATACTATATTACTTCATCCGCTACAATTATGGTTAAAGAAAGCCGCTAAATTGCTTTGAGCAGTTATTGTCCGGTCTGCCACCGTAGCGGTTCATTGTCGATGAAACCCGCACTCTCCTTCAACCATCTCCTAGCACTCTATTCCCCAGCTTTCTTAGTCCTGGGCAGTTGCAGAAGCGCCATGTTCCTCAAAGGGAACAGAATAGACTCCCAATCTGGTTCATTTTAAATATTTTACGCGACTCACCCGTTGCTGCTTCAGGAAGAAAGAAAAGAAGCAAGCCAGTTGCTGTTGTCATCGTCAAAGCAACTGGAAAGTAAAAACTTGCAAGGAAGGCCTGTAACAACCTCCGAAAAGAGACTGCTAACGCCGCCATTGTCCCGTCCAAATACCTTAACCTTCCCCTCCCCGAGCAAGCAATTCGTAGAAACAAGCACAACCCTGGGGCGCCGCATCCAAAACTCTCCCACTTTTTCCGAACCTCCCTCCTGCGCGACAGACAAAACAGTAACCCTTCCTCCTTTCCAGACACCTACTAATACAAAGTAATTTATCTAGCAAGCAAGATCATTTACTGATTGGGCAATTTCGTCACGAGGTTTTAACCGCATTCCTCCCGCCTTCTTTTCTTGCTATAGCAGGAAAAAAGTACAGAACGAACTTCAAGTTCGAAGTCAGAGAAGAAGGCTATAATGAAATACTTAATTGCAGTGTATGAGTCCTTGCCCCAGAAAAGAGAACGAGTATGTGTTCTACAGTAAGAAAAGTTTGTAAAGTGCTTTCTTCTCCTATTTTTCATTATTCCCTTAAAGTTATAAGCAATTTATAACAGTAACAATTTTATTATGTGGTCAGAGACCCATTAAAACTACAAGGAAACCAAAGACCATGTTTTCCAACAAAGCAGAACATAAAAATATTGTTAAGGCTATTAGGATTAGTAAAAAGGTGATAAAATTAAAAATATCTAAAAGGTATAAATCTAGGCAACAATTTTTGAATTCAGAATCATTGGTTGAAATGGGTGGCTATAGAAATTAAACAAACCAACTTAAGGAAAACAGGAATAAAACACAATTGCAACAGCAATATTTTACATGACAGCAATAAAAGTTAAGAATGTAACTACTGTTTATCTAAACCAAATTAACCGAGTCACCAGTTTATAAATCTGTACAACTGGGCTAAACAACTTGATGAGTGTTTAGTATAGTGGCTAAGTTAGAGTAGAAACTTAAAATTCTTGCCCAAAAAATTTGCAAAGACTTGCCCAGATCTGAAAAACATTTACAAATTCCATGTATACTTTACTCTTTGTCAGTGAGCGAAATATGTTCTTCATTATTGGAACCTTCTGTCACTACCAATTACAACCTGTCATATCATGCTCATGTCAGTGTTGTTTTACAAGAAGTATAAAAATTATTGGGCAAAAATCATGTCTTTTCAGTATTGGCTAATAATTTGGATTTTGTTACTATACCACTTTATACATTTTCTTGGAGGCCTTTATCTAGAAAAATGATTCCTGATATTTTGGATATTTGGAGACATGAAAAAATATACTAGGCACCATAATAAATTAGCATGGACATAGTAAATCACAAGCACTTTTCTGCCTCTCTAGATATGTTTACATGAGTTAGCTGATGTCGTAACCTTTTCCACAACAAAATACTAATCAGAAAAAGAGAGAGGAAAGGAACATGAGTAAGAGAAATGTATGTTTTAGAATCAGAAGTGAATCGATTCTTTTTATCACTTTTTAACTTCTAACTCCAGCACCTTATCCTGAAGATATTCCAGTGTCTCAGAGCAAGAATAGTATTATCAGTTAATAGTTCAATAAATTGAATGACACTGAAATAGAAGCGTTTAAATCCAGATATTCTGAAATTAATTTCTTACATGGGAATTAGTAATTTCTCCTGAGATGCAGCTCCATTCTGAGTATTGTCCAGGTTCCTCAGCTTTCACTTCTAATTTAATGAGAACTTGTTGCCCTACTATAACTCACAGTACAGTATACATACTGTATAATAATGATAATAATGTGACATGCATTAAGGTGGGAGACTAGAAGAAACTGCATTTCTGACTTCGTATAATCATATATATATGATACTTTAATTTATTAATCCATCTCCCAAAAAACTGAAAAATATGAAACAGCAGGGCCCCAATTGTTACAGAAATAATGACCTGACAAATTAGAAAAGTGTGCATTTGATTTGTGCCAAATTTGGGGGGAAAGTCTTATCTCTATAGTCACCATCATAGAAAGTTGATGTGCAATCACAACATTTGCAACAATATTTTGAGCGGTTGTCTGACCATAAGTAGCCTCATGTAGAATAAACAAGCTAAGCCCATAAATGGAAGGTGGGAGGATCTTAACTTTCCTCTTCCAGAAGCCATCTGTTTCTTTTTACTCTAACAACATCTATTTTTCAGATGAACATCCTTACTTGATCCATGTAGATATGAAACAGCTAGAATTTGTCCTGCATTTATGACATTTTAAAAATCAAATAGTAAATCAGGGAAACATTTTCAAACATTTTTGAAAATGCTCTTGCCCATGTAGCAAACAGATATGTAATTTCAGCCCTTCCTCTCCTTCTTGGAAGACAGACAAATCTCCTAAGATATATTTTTTTAAAAAAAGAAAAATAAAATCATAGGACTGGAATCATATAATCATAGAGCTCTTTCAGTCTAGCCCCCTGCCCAAGGCAGGAGTCAATATTCCTTTCCAGACAAATGGTTGTCCAATCTTTTCTTGAAAATCTCCAGTGAGGGAGCATCCACAACATTAGGAGGCAAGCTGTTCCATTGATTAATTATTCTCACAGTCAGGAAATTTCTCCTTAATTCCAGGTTGGATCTCATTCTGGGTAGCTTCCACTCTCAGGTGCTCTGTAAAATAAATCGATGCCCTCTTCCCTGTGAAAGCCCTTCAAGTATTGGAAGACGGCTGTCAAATTTCCCATGTGGTTTCTCTTCATTAAGCTGAACATACCTAGTTCCCTTAGAGGTTCATTGTAGGTTTAGCCTCCAGACTCCTTATCATAACATAAAACATAAAAGTGCTTCAAATTGCAAAAAAATAATAATCAGTGTTCCAGATAGACCAAGAAAATAATAACTGTCCACTTACAAGTAAATCTTGTTAGATAGTTGCAATTTAGATGTTGCAATTTAAGATTGGACCACTAATATATATTAAAATTAGTATTTTTATGCTCAGCCTGAGGGATGGGATGCAAGGCTGAAATAACATGCTCTGTTTTTTAAAATAAGAACATTACATAGCATAACAAAATAAATTAAACCTAATACAAACTTCTGGCTAAACATTACATGTTACTTCAGAACTAGAATTCCCTTATAAGCATAAATTCCTTTTCTCTTACTTTTCTGAACAATCTTAATTTCTGGCAAATTTACATTTTACTTGGAGACTCTATATATAAGTCTGTAGCTTTCACCAGCTTTGATGCATAGTTTGTTCTCATCCTGGTTTTTCCAAAGGATTCACATTTTCTATCCCCAGAACAGAAGATTTTGCTGGTGTATTGTGAAGAGACTGTGGCAGCAGATGAAGGTGGAGGTTTTCAGTGGATATAAGAGCAGACATGACAGCTAAGAGATGGGAGCCATGGAAAGGAAATATTTCTAAAAAAATTCTGCCTCAGTTGGCTTGCTATATGTTTAACTGGTAACTTTTATCATTTTAAAAATTATATTTACCCTGACTGGGCATCATTAAAGGTGCCTTTTTGAAATCCATAATTTTAGCTTCTTCAATTTGCCATCTATATAGGGTTTAACTGATATCTCTCTATGTGTATGTAACTCTTTCTTGTACAGTAGATATATTTTGAATGATTAAACTTGTTTGGCAAGAGACTTAGAATATTATGAATGCCTAGCACAAAGAACTGACTTTAGCCACTCTGTGTTTATTAGTGTATCCAGGGCTTTTTTTTTGTCATAGAATGCCCAGAACGGAGTTCTGTCACCATTTTTGGATGGAACCTTGTAGGGTAGGCAAGGCAGGTTGTGATGTGTGAGAGTTCTGGCACCTTTTTTTTCTAACAAAAAAAGCACTGAGTGTATCTATGGGGTGCATGTGAAACTACAAAACATTATTGCACAGAGCATTCTAACAGGATTGCGTATGTACAGTATATATGAGATAGACCATTTTTCTCAATTATTTATTTCACATCCTCCATCATTCCTTATGGTCCACTGACTTCTTCAATTGGACTTCTGGACAATCCATCCATCAAGGTTCATCTTTTCTTCAATATATTTCATCTTAAAGTAATATTTTGTAGGGCTATAGTCCAGTGCTGAAATTTATTCCTGTGTTCACCTTATCAGTGTTTCAAGCATAGATGCAGTTAAGAATATCAACGCTGTCAAGAAAAATCAAGCTTTTGATAGTGTGTGCCATACCATGTGCACTAATCGAACAGGTGGTAAGAAAGAAAGGGAACTCGGCTTCTGGTTCCAGGTTATGGCATTGCAGTTGTGCAAAGAGAGTCGTCTCTTTGCCGGCCGAGTTTCCTCTGCTGGTAGATCCCTGAGGGGGTCAAAAAGTCGCTCTGGAGGAGCGATTACCATTGAGGAGGCTCCTCGTATGACTGTAGAAGGGCGTCGTCATCTTCTGCGGTCCAAGCAAGCTCCTTTGGGACGACAGAGTAAAGAATGGTCAGTAAAATGGCCGATCATTTAGCTGCGCCAGCCATAAGCCATAAGATCACCTAAGCAAATAGACCCACCATGGAAGATTCGGTGAGATTTTACCCTATTGCTATTTTTCCTACTGTGAAAAAATTTTGGGGGGGGGGAATTATTTCCCTACTCCATTAAAGCGGCATTTTTGATGGGGAAGAGAAGCTTTGGAACAAAAAAAAATATCAAATTTTCATCTTATAATGGCTGATTTTACTTTTGGACATTTGGGGGTCCCAAGAAACTTTGTCATAGAAACTTAATATGCTAATTATTTGGAGAATATTGTTTTTTTCTCTATTTTTATGGGGTCTGGAAGGACTGAATAACTCTGGTTAATCCTTGGGGGACATCTTGTGGTGAAATTATTTACTGCAATTGTTATTTTCTTCTTTTGGAATTTGATTGTGGCCTTCCAATTATTACAAAGGAAAAAGATAAAGAAGCTCTATAGCTGGGTGGAGGCGGATATTGACTGATTGTTCTTAAATATAGTCTTCTCCAAAAGAATGGCTTCAAATATTATAGAAATGGAGACCTTAACTATACATACATATTGGATAAAATTCTTGAAAATAGTGGACTGATAGTTGCCTATACAAAAGAGATTATT